GGCTGGTCACCTATGGAGCTCTCTGAGGGAGACCACGTGAAACACCACAGCTCTTTGAGTAGATGGTACTTAACTTTGGAGTCGCTCAACTGTGATTTCCTCACTAAAAGCACCTGAAAACCTCAGTTAGATTCAGGTTAGCATGTAGCTAATGTCCTGCTGATTTCTGACCATGGCGGGGAAGCGGAGCACAAGCTCAAGGTTTGCAGCCCGGGCGCATTTGTGTCTTGACCAAGATATCACATGATATCAGTTATCCAAATAAAACTGGCTACAACACAATAGACTTCATTGTATCTTTAAGCCTTTAAAGCCAAAGACTCAATAATTTAACTTTGTACAGAGTTATACAAACATTAAATAACTAATCAATCATCTACAGCCAATCTTGCACAGTTTCTTCAGAGTAAAGTAGATTCAGGTTCAAACGTGCAGTTGAATTATTCATAGCTAGCTTGTTATTATGTAACCTATGAAGTAGTTTCACAATTTGAGGAGAAAATGAGGTGATTTAGCTTTAGATGGGCGACTGAGATAGAGGTGGGGTGCCAATTTGCAAAAGTGAACAAGTGGATTGCACACCGAATAAGAAAATAATGTGCAGAAGCATCTGGGTCATAAGAATGCAACAGAGTGATTATTTCTATATAAACATGTTTTAACTAGCCAGATAAAACATCTCAGATTTTACCTTAGTGCTCTGATTTTACTTTACTTACAATATTAATTTGACAGACTAATTTTTTAAATTTTAGCTAAATACATGTTATCATGTTAGCATGCTAAAGAACGTGATGCATTTTTATGACTTGTGATCAATTAGGACAACTTTAAGACAAATAGAGACTCTTGCTTCCCTCTGCAGGAGTCAGAGGATAGATTATTAAGCACAAACAAGAAGGCAGACACCTGAGAAGTTTCCTTTGTCGATCACAGGCAGGATTTAGTTTAATTAATTTAGAGGAGATGATAAGGAGAAGCAAAAATCAATACGAGGTAGAGCAACAGAGAAAAATGATTCAGAGGAGGGAAACATGTCTGTGATCCAACGCTTCCTTAGAATAAAACACAGCACAGCCACGTGGACTTCATTCAATTTATTCACAGATTGTAAAACAAGCCTAAAATAACACTTTTTAAACAACTTGGTCCCTCAAGCTTCAATAGATTTGACTTAATGAAAGCTAATTTGCTAAGAAAGCTTATTGTTTATTTTCTGGTCAGGAAATTAAGCAGTTTACTAACAAGCAAGGAATACATAGGAAGTTGAACTTTTATGAGATTATTATCAAAATGTCTGTTTACATCAGCTGACTCCTAAAATAAAAACCTCTACATGTCGACCACTGCCTTCAAAGAATGATACGAAATATGAACTTGATTATCTTGACCCATAAATGTGAGATAATCTAAAGATTTAAATCTAAAATGTAACGTTCATGCAGACCTGTGTGTGTCTATGCACCAATGCTTCTGACAAGCTACAGGGTTGTATACAAACACTATTTTTCACCACAATGCCCCCACGTTTACAATTTCTATCTAAATCTAATGAACATTGATTTGGTCTAACGTTGTGCTTGAATACACAACAGAAGTTGACTTCTTTTTACATTTGGACTGATTTTAATTCGTTCCTCGTAACCATTTGGACTCAGTTTGGAGAGGTCTGCTTTTTATTCAAATTCAGTTGTCTTCTGTTTTCACCTGCACTGAGAGAACATATCATCAAGGAAAATGCCCTTGTGATTAATATGGTGGCAAGAAATGATTCTGTGTGTGATGTGGATAAAAGGAAAGAGTGTTTAAAACAATGGTCTCTCAGCTCTTTGTTTTCATTCATTTCCTTTCATCTACAAGAAATTTGGCTTCGGCCTACATTGCCACAGGAAAAGACTCTTCATGCAAATTAGAGGGATCTAATCTAGTCATTTAGGAAGAAAAGAACCCAATCCATCCAAATAAATAGAGAACAATAATGTTAGTTGCCCTGATTGTAATTTACTGTGAGAAGAAAAAGGATTTCTATTTTCCTCTTATAATTAATATTCAACCCCATCTTGTTCTTTTTGCTGAACATGGAAGAGAGTGAGGGCTTCACATCCTGTCTGAGAGATTTCACCACCAAAAACCAGTTTCTGACCAATCATCCGCTCACGCTAGGGATATATTTTTGGATTAATATACTGACACTTCTGTTCTTCTATCCATGGAAATAATCTGATCGTGTAATTTTAAAGACCCAAGTTCACTGAGAAACCATTCTTTACTTGTTATTTTTGAAATACCATCGGCCACTCTGAGTTTAACATGCAGGCTAAATGTGAAAATAGTCTTCTACGCTTTTTTCCCCCCGGATTAGCCACTGATAGGAAATAGATGAGGAAACAATTGGATTAAGAGAGCCTGTGCATTCATGGACTCACCCATCTGCAACAGGGAAGGGTGCTGTTGATATAACGTCCAAGAGAAAGCAGAACACATCCCTGCTAGTAGAAGC